CACACATACAGAGACGCACACACACATCGGCCGTGAAGAATGAACTTCCGCACCTGCTCTAACCATTGGGTGCACACCCTCTGCTCTTTATCCCTGACACTTTCAACGACATATGCCGCAAGTTTGCCATCAATTCCCCGAACTTTCAGGTCATCTTCAAACGTGGTCTTCACATCACTATCCAGAGCATTGTGATCTGGCCTGTCGTCTCGTTATCATCTGCAACTTGGAGCGAGAGGAAATTGACGACCACCGCCTCGCCATCTGTTCGAGCTTAGCACCATTCATGCTCTTGGTGACGCTGACGGTGAAGCTGACGGGTGAGGGCGGTGGTGCCATGCCCGCCTCGTTGCTCATCTCATCCTCTTCCCCTCCTCCCATGAAATCCTCCGGCTGCACGCAGATCGACACCTCGATATCTTTCTTTCTGAAGGACCATCGCAGGATGATGCCATTCATTCCAGGCTTATCCTTCAGATCAAACAGGGCAGGAGGCCCTCTCTCTTCACAGCGGGAGAGGGCTTATGGTTCTGAACTTCGTAATCGTACCGCAGTAGGGATTACGTCTGCAAGATGACTAATCTACCCCCGATGCGACAGCCGCATTAGACAAAGACGTCCAATGAGATTGAGTGGGTAAGGTTAATCTAGATTGAGAGGATAATTTGGGTAAAAGATAGGTTACCAATGGCCCGGAGACCGGACGTCTCCCCCGGACGTCAGGTACCCCCGTCGTCCGGTTTGCCGGACGATGGCTTTTTGGCACTGAAAAAAAAATATATATATCACAGTGTTGCGCATGCCCTAGAGACCCCCCACAAAAAATTTCAGATTTTTCTGAGCATTTGGGGTGTGTGTGGGGGGGGGGGGGGGGGGGGGGGGGTTTGGGGGGGGGGGGGGGGGGGGGGGGGGGGTTTTGGGGGGGAAGGGAGGGGTATAGGTGGGGATTAGAATCTTTGAAGNTAGGTGGGGATTAGAATCTTTGAAGATTTTTATTATTTATTCTACTGGCCCAAATGATCCAAAAATTTGGTGGCATACACCTAATGCAAGGTGGAAGCCACATGCTTTTTTTTTTTGCGCTAGGTCGGACACACCCTGTCCGGTCCGACGTCCGACCAGACGTCCGGTCGGACATCCCGGACGGTCAGGGGGGTCCCGGACGTCCGATCCAACAACCTAGGTACCGTAAAAGGGAAAACTTGGAGGTGAGCGTGGTAGGTAGCCTCAGCGGTGGCGGCAATGGCTGCGGCGGCGGCGGTTCGGCCATGTCCTGCTAAGCTTGAAGATCGGGATTGCCATGTGGCAATCGATCGCAGCTGGGAGAAGAAAGATGGAGACAGTAAGCAGGGTGAGGGACCAGCCAGCGATCGTGGCAAGTACCAATGACGGCACCTCGACAACGATGAGGAGGAGGAGGAATACGGAGTTGGGGGGAGTGCCCATCCACAGTGCGCCAACACTCTTGATTAACTTCTTAATCAGCATCAGTCGCTGCATTTCTGGACAAACACGCAACATCTATCTACCTTGTTTTTGCTCCTCTTTACTGTCTACAACAACGATCTTCCATACACTAAACGACTGATCAGATGATTGACTGATTGAGCAATTAGTTGATTGGTTGATTGGAACTTGATTGAGCAAGTTGTTGATCGATGGATTGAGCAATTAATTGATTGACCAATCGAGCAATGATTGATCTATCAGATGATTGAGTCCGTTGATTCGACCTAATTGACCAATCAATCGGTCAGTCAAAGCGATCTATCACCTGCCAATCCCCCAACCCATCAAATCAAGGAATCAACCAATTGATTGATGAACCAATCACATCCTCATCAACCGTTCAACAAAACATTGAGCAATCAACCAATTATATAAAGTCGACCAATCAAAATCAATCGTTCAATTGTCTCACAAAATCGTCATCCAACCAATCAACCCCCACCAACCCTCCCTGGTTTGATCCTCATCCCTACACTACTAAAATTGCTAATGTAACAAATCTTGGAATCGGCCTGTCGTTGGCCCAATCGATCCACGGCCTGGATCGTCGGAACCATGTAATAAATCTTGAATCCGGGCCGTGGTGTCCTACTGGACCGATGGCGTGGATTGTTGCGTCAATGTAACCAATTTTTTATCTGGGCCGTTGGGCCCACACGAGCCAATGGCCTGGATCAACGCGAAGTCAAGATCAGACACGAATCGAGGCCATCGGCCCAGTACCTCGGGGCCGGCGGCCCAGATCTTCTGTGACTTGGGCACACGTTTGCCGGTATGCCCCACCGCCGCTGCCCTCCCAAACAGTACCAGTAGGCCTACCACCACCCTCCTGTAGGTACCGGTAGCCTCTTCAAGTCCACCGGCGCTGCCGTCCTCCCTTGCTGTACTCTGTGTGTGTGTGTGTGTGTGTGTGTGTGTGTGTGTGTGTGTGTGTGTGTGCTTGTGCATGTGTGTTTGTGTGCTTGCATGGGTGTATGTTTGTGTGTGTTGGGTGTGCGTGCAGGCATCAGTGTGTGCGTGAGTGTGGGGTGAAAGTGTGTGCTGCACTTGC